CATCTTGTCTTTATTTTTAGTTAGCACCTGAAACACTTCAAGCTGTAAGCTAATGATAGTTATATAAGAGCAGATGCTGCTGGTGCAATAAGCTGTACGTTTTACGTCCAGTGGGTGATGATCTGATTAGTCGACTAATCGCAAAAATAATCGGTGACTAGTCGACTATCAAAATAATCGTTTGTGGCAGCCCTACTTACCACCATGGTGTTCTTGGACACCAGCCGCATGGGCTCCGAGCTCTGATTTGTCAGCTTGCCGGCCACCTGGAGGTTGATGGGGGCGTTCTGCGAGTCGGGTTTGGTGATAGCTGTGGTTACCATAGCGACGGTGGGCGGGCGCTGCGGCAGGACAGTGCCGGGGGCAGCTTTCAGCACCAGCGTCTTTGTGGTGAGGACCGGCGTCACTGTCAGCGTCTGTGGAGGGAGAAGTTAACCCACGACACATTTAAAGACAGTCGGATTTTAAGTCATCCTGTAAACGGCGCCGCGGCTTTCATACCTGCTGCAGCGCTCCAGCTATCTGCTGGCTCTGCAGTGGGTTGGCCGGCTTGATGTCTCCTCCTCCTGGAGGAGTTTGGACCTGCAGCTGCAGCTTGGCCTCCGGCTCCTGCTTCACCAGCAGCTCCTTCCTCAGCTGCTCCACCACCTTTTTCTGCAGGCGAGAGCACAGGACATTATTCCCGCAGCAGGCGCCACTTCTCCATTCAAAAAAGCTTTATTGAAACAAAGTATGGAACAAACGATATAATGAAGGGTGTGGAGGCAGAGGGTCGACTCTCAGAGGAAAAAAGCTTTTTAAACTTTACTTTGGGGCGGACTCATATAAAAAGTGTTTTTTAACTGGTGATTGTTCATGTGATCATTTAATTTAGAAAAGTTACTGTGAAAATAAGTACAAGTAAGTACCCAAGCATCTCTGCATGACTGAGGAGGAGGGGGAGGGGCAAAAGAGAAATAAGTGAAAGAAGCAAAAAGAATGAAAAGCAGAAGAAGAAAGGGGTGGAGCTCAGGAGGTCACGCACACACTGGCGACTGAATTCTCAGTCGGAGGATAAAGCCCATCTGTTGCTTAGCAACAGTCGACTCAGAAGCAGGAACTTAATGGAGTGAAACACAATGAGGACGCCGCGAGAGAGAAAGCAGAGAAACACAGAGGAGGAGGAAAGTGGCGGCGCTGCTTTCAGAGAACTGTTTGACCTTCTGCCAATAACGTGCAGCACTTCAACTGCTGCCGCCGCCGCCGCCGCACAGGGACGTTTAATCTCACAGGACTTCTGCTTTCACAGGTCCGATTCTAAAAACACACACTTCCTGTTTAACTCAGTCTTTCTCGGCCTGCGACTCGGGAGGTTCAGGCGTGATGACGTCAGCGCGTGATGGTGAGGCGCACGCTCTAAAAAAAGGTCAAGGGTCATGCACTTTTTCCCAGCACATCTGAATGAAAGAAAAAGTGCAATAAAAAAAATCTCGCTCCTTTCCCCCAGAATCAAAGAGGCCATGAGAGCAGCTGCACGGCTGCCAGTTTAATTACAAGAAGAAGAAGCAGGAGCAGGAAATCACCTACATTTCTTCTTTTGAACTTCCTTCAGACTGTTACTCTGAGCCCACCCCTCACGCTCCGGCTCATATTCCCACTGAGGCAGTTTATCATCAGGTGGGAGCCGAGCTCAGCGCGAGACTAATCTGCCGACTCTCTGAAACCGACTTTAGTCATCTGTGGTTACGCAAGATGCCCGCCTGCACAAATACGCGCACGCCTTTCTGTTTCCCCACAATAATCTGAGCTAATCCCGACTCCGACATCATCTCAGCACACTTCAGTCTGCACAAACTCTTATCCAACAACGTCTTCTTTAATTCTGCACGATGTCGAAGCAGCGAGCACAAAATGTTTCACACGCAGAACAAACACAGCGAGAAACACGCAGGGAGCAGATAAAAATAGGAGGCACAATGAAAGTGTTCAAAAATAACAGAAGACAAAGAGACTACAGACGTGACGTAACACGCTCATCTGATCCATATATCACAGGGACTATTATGAACGCCAGACACCAAACACACAGAGTCAAACAGCCACGAGGAAGAAACGAACGACCACCGAAGCTCATGAAAGAGAGCGACCCAGTCACACAGTGACAATGATGCAAAACAAGTCAAAGACACAAACGCGCACCGCTGTCTCTGCCACTGCTGGCTGTTCTGTGTCGTTCATTAATAATGTTTGATATCAGAATGATGTAAGCTCATGAGGTGAGACTGTACCACTGCGCTGAGCTTTGGCCTCGGAGCGTGTCACTCCTGTGAAGCTGAAGCGCTCCGAGCTCACGTTTCTTTGTTTGAAACGACAGCTCGGTGAACTCAGCCTCTAATATCACAGAAGGTCACGCTTTAAACGAGCCCACGGACACGAGCTCGTTAGCACAAAGCTGAATACCTGCTTCTCGCTGAGCGCTGTGATCTTTGCTTGAAGTTCGTGGAGCTGCTTCTTCAGATCTGCGTTCTAACAAAAAACAAATGCCATGAAAAAAACATCTGAAAAGTTTGAAGCTTCAGAGGTGCTGATAAGAAATAAGAGCTTGGACCTTACCTGAGGGTCCTGCTTCATCTGAGCAACCAGTTTCTGCAGAAAGAAGAGAGAAAACACAGATCACGCTGACACCTGCTGGTCATCACAGGGAACTGCACCCGAAACAGAGCAGCGCTCGCTCTGACGGACGCGCGTCCTTTGATAAGGATCATATATAAACTAAATAAACAAATGAAAACAGAAAAAGAGACCACACCTGACCCTGATTTCTTTTTTCCTGTTTTACCATCACACTATGAACATTTTCAGCTTGTTCATCACTTTGTTTAGTACAGCACACATCCACGTTTTCAGGGTGAAAACCAGATTTAGGCTCCATTAAAACACAGCCCACTGCAGGCCTCACAGTCTGCAGACTGAATGTGGCTTCACCCCTTACTCCCCTACTAGAGTTGCACTTTATTTTACTGGGATTATAATGCACTTATATGTACCTCCACACGTCAGCTACACTAGGAGGTAACAGGTCAGGTTTTCCCAGGAAACAAAGAAATAATTAGACTGTAGATGAATTTAAGCGATGCGTAACTTCAGGTAGTTATTACAGTAATATTAGTATATTATTAGTATTGTGTTATTTCTTGTTCTACACTGTAAGCGTGCTGCAGTTTTCAGAGTGGTTTACTCCGCCCAAAAAGTGCGACTGTGCTCCGACGTTACGGTGTCACATTTATGGTGGTAAAGAAAGGACTGACTGAACATCAACATAATGAATATTAAATAACAATGAATCCACTTCATAATCTGCTTACATGAACTAACGATGTACCGTGGAAACATTGTTTTTCCTGTGAAACTACTTAAACTCACAGTAGAATTATTCCTCAGGCTGCTGTAAAAACCCCACCTGTTGCCTCCTGATTCGATCCGCATGTATTTGTAGTAAAGGGAGCAGGCTGTGTTATGCAGCGTTACTCAGTGTCCTGCCTCAGTGCGTTCATGCAGACGCTGAACTTTGAAAAAGAAGAGCGAGCGGCCAAGACAGGAAACAGCTGAGCCCACAGCGTACCTGATGGATCTGGATCTCCACCTTCAGGGCCTCCTGTAACGTCTGTAATTCCATCATGGATCCAGTCAGTCTGCCAGCCGATCGATCAGCCTGCGCGCACACACACAGAAAGGTGAGACGCTGGTGTTTCAGGGCTACACTTACCACACCTGTGTGTGTGAGCTCTCACCTGAACACTGTCTCCAGTAGGAAAACCATCCAACTGAAGCATTAAAGTGGTGCTGCAGAGGAAACGAGGCACAGACACACGGATGACTACAGGGCAGGTGACCTCACCTGAAGCTGTTCATTACACACAAACAGGCTCCGAGCTTCATCGCGCCCAAACATCAAACACTTCATTCACATCAGCATTAATGAGCCTCACACTCCAGCATAACAGCACTCACCACCTGGCTGTGGGACCGGACTCCACCCCTCTGTGCTGCCCTGCAACACACAGCAAACGCACACGTTACAGGCCCAGTGTGTTCAGGAGACTTTAAATGAAAGACGTCTTTATTCTAACAGCGATCAGTCCTGAGCCAGCACAACTCAGCAGGCGTGCAGCGGCACACACCTTCAAAATAAAACACACGTTTGTGGACTCGATTTGTACGTCCTCACCTTTCTACCATCTGCTGATGTTTTCTGAAGCTTTCAGTTTGTTTGCTGTTCACATTTTAAGAGGATTCTTTTTATTATTTGACAGTTTGGGTTTGTTTTTCTTTGCTCCATAAAACTTTCACATGTGAGCCAAACCTGATCAGGTCACACTGCCCACAGTGATTCAGAGGTCATGTGACACACCAAAGAGGAGCATTAAGAACGAGCCCTGTGCAGTACTCGCTCGTGTTTCTCTGCAGGAGAGGAAACAAAAGAATAAACCGACACATTTTTCTCAAAAACACAAAGAAAATCATTCAGAGGAGATCATCATCATAATAATGTGTTGCATCACCAGCCTGTTAGCTCATCCCTGCCCCTGCAGCGCCCCCTGCTGTGTGGATGCCAACATTTACATGTCTTTGCATCAGTGAGACAAAAAACATTCTTTAAACTAAAAACACCAGAAACAGGAACTAACATAAGGGTCAGGGCCCTTCAAAGTGTCGCCAGAAATACACCCAGGGTCCTGAGATGATCTATTATTTATGACGAATCCACGGAAGAAGTTAAGGAAAAACATCCTCATCATGTCTCTGAATGCTGTTTGGGGTTAACGTGAGCAGCACATCAGGAAAAAGTACTCAGGAGTACAAAGAAATGGAAATACTCGAGTACTTCACACCCCAGCCCGTAACCTGCAGACAAATGAAGTACCGAAGTACTCATAAAAACTGTAAAAGCTACAAAATAAAGTGCATAAAACACAAAGACTGCTTCATTTTTACATTTTTGAAGTTTCATTAGAATAAAAAGAAAAGAAAGAAGTGCACAAGTACTTTCACTGTAAGTACACACAAGTATTATAGGCTCCAGCTTGCACCTCAAAGTACTTTGAGTGATTGTTGGGTATTTTGTAAGCTTAATTAGTACTACATAATCCTCTGAAGTAGGGCTGTTCGATATAACGATGTGTGTCGGACGACGATATAAAAACATCTGTTGTTTCATTTCACGCTGTCGTTTGTTTCGTGGTGTCGCAAAATAAACTGTTTACAGTAATATTTGTTCATGTTTGGATGTCATTGTAGTGGCTGTATTCTTAAAGTTCTCTCTTTCTCTTATATTTAATATCACCACACTACGGACGCACAGGCGCCTGTTGATGGTAACACCATCGTGTGTCCGCTTGTTTATGTTCCACATAAACCTTTCAGAATAAAGCTCAAGATCCTGTTGAGACTTCAAAATAAACTGAATCACGTGAAAGATGCAGAGTGTTTACAGATGAGAAGCAAAAAAGACGGCAGGTGCTAAAAAATAAACCTTAGACTCAGACGTTAGAGCAGGCTTCTCCCCGCAGCACGCCGTGTAATAAATACTCACAAAGAAACGGCGCCGTTACAACTTATTTTGTAAAAATGTGTCGTTTCATGCATCGGTTAAAACGCTCGACTCCAGCTACACGACGCCCAGCTGGGAACACTTCACGCAGGTCGAGCTGCCCGAGATTCACAGAAAATGTTACATTTTTGATTTATATCGTTACCGGGACGACAGATGTCTGATATCGGCACAGCCCTAATCTGAAATATAGTATCAAGTAGTGAAAAATAAGTAGTAAAGTACCTCAAAACTGCAGTGATGCTGTAGTAGTACTACTATGTGAGAAAAACTATTCAAGTACTTCCTGTTTTCAAATCCTCAGATTTATGGTTGAAAGACTGAAAGCTGAAACTAGTGCAGTAAAAAGTACTTTTAAAAGAATAAACAAAGTATTTTAGCTTCGTGTACTGAGTTTCAGGCTGTGGCGTGAAGTACTTTTCCTTAGTAGTACTTTGATTTCCTGTGTTGTACTTTAAAAACTGTAATTACACAAAAACTGTGCAGTGAAACAAAAAGTACTTTGACTTTCCTTCAAGTTTAACCAACTCCATTAATACTACAAAGTACTGCATTAGTACATACTACACGTAAACTCATTCAGAGGGAAAAAGTACCATAACTATAGTACTTAACTATTTTGAAGTACATATTATTATTAACCTAGAAAAAAATACTACGTCATTACTGTAAAGCACAGACAGACGTGTACATAAACATATAAACTAAATACATGTAGTACTGCTGAATCGAGCGTACTGTAAGTGGCTCGCAGTACTCCGGTTTGTTGTTTTTAAAAGTACACGATTTAACCACTAGACCTGTTTTCCAAGTACTTCAATACTACACAAGATGCAGTAGTGCCGTCTTACTAATTTAGTAGAAAGTACTTCGTGTCCAAAACTCAACACCTGAGTCATGAAGTACTGTGATTTTCTGTGCTGTAGTTTAAAGTATTACTCTGATTTGTGTCTAAAACATTCAGGTGCATGTACTTCCTACTGGAGTAAAGTATCTCTATACAGTATTAGTATTCGAGGAATCTACTTTTCAAGTACTTGAAAACTAAAAACAGGGGAAAGTACTGCATTATACAACCGTCACTGAAAAGCTTTAGTAGTACTAAGAGAATAAAACTGAAGTACTTCCAGTTTCTGAGCAGCTCAAACACGTATTTAAGTTCAGTAGTACTCTGTTAAAAGTACTTTAAACACAGCCTGAAACCTGAGACAAAGGGACTCAAAGTACTTTTGTACTGTGTATTTTGTAAGTACCTGCAGTAACAAAACTCTTGTAGAATACAAGAACAGAGTAACAAAAAATACTAATACTCAGGTACATCTGCTTTATGAGTCCATACAACTATTAAAACTGCAGTATTCAGTAGTAAAAAGTTTCCCTTTGAAATGCAGTCTAGAGCAGTACATGTACAGTACTTCAAACCTTAGTTAGAAGTAGTAGTACTGTAGTACTAATTAGTAAAAAAGACTTACTTCCATCTTATAGTTTAAGTACAAGTACACAAGAGGACAAATAAGCACCAAAGTACTCCATGGTCCAGGTCATTCAAAAATGTACTTATACATTGTAGTACTGCATTACAAAGTACTTTAAACTGCAGTCTATAACATGGGACAAGTACTTTGGTTTACTCATGAATCCACCACTTAGTACACGCTTAAGGTACCAGAAATGTAAATAGTACTGCAGTTCCATTTTACAAATACCTTAAACTTGATAAAAACTGTAACAAATGTATTTTAGTACTACAAACTACAGCCTGATCCCACGATAAGTACTCCCAGTTACTCTTTTCTATTCAAAAAGTTTGGTTTGTACAGTACATTTACTCTTTAAATCTTGTGGAGTACAAATTTGAAGTACTAGAAAATGTAATCATTAACCTTTATTATCCAAGTACCCAGAAATAGTACTTATACTTACTGGTAAAAACAACTTTATACTGCAGCCTGAAACAAAGTACTCTGACTGTTTTTAAAAACCTTCATTACTGCAGTACTTCCCTCTGAAATTTACTTCAGAATGTAAATAAGGATTTTTGTGTACTTCAACTATCAAAATACTTAAAAACTGTACTTAGTAGTACTTTATTACTAGTTCATAAAAGCTACTTTGTACTATAGTCTGAAATGTGAAACAAAGTATTCTGATTTACTGTAGTACATTGTTAAAAAGCTTCATCAGTACACACTTGAATATTTCTACTATCTACATACTTTAAAACTGCACTTAGATATAGCAGTACACATGAAAAAGTACTTTAAAGAGCACCGTGTACCACAGGACGAGGGTCTGTGTTGTACACGTTTCATTACTGCAGTGTGTCCCTCTGAAGTGTAGTACAACAGTTTTCCAAGTCCAAAACTATACTACTGTATGACTAATTATTAAAAAAGTACTTTGAATTAGATCCTACTGAAGTACTTTGTTTAAAAAAAGCTTCATTACTGCAGTACTTCCGTCTGAACTTTACTAGAGTGAAAATAAAAATGTGTGTATACTTTCACTTTCAAAGTACTTTAAACTGCACTTTGTAGTGCTGCTTAACTAATGAATAAAGTAGTACTTTACCAGTCTGGAATATGAAACAAAGTACTCTGATTTACTGTAGTACATTGTTAAAAAGGCTTCTTTAGTACACACGGAGTGAAAACAGAAACACTTGAATACTTCTATTAACCGAGTACTTTAAACAGCCCTTACTTACAGCAGTAGTGCATTACTTATTAATAAAAAAGTAACTGTTACATCCTGAAACAAAGTACTGTGACTTACTGTTTGGTGTTTTTAGTTAGTACACGTCTAAATTTACTGCAGGACAGATTTAAAGCAACAGAAAGCAAAAATACTCGAGTACTTCTATCCCACCCCGAGGTACAGTAGTACAGCATAAGCGATGAGTAAAAGTACTTTGTGCTCCAGCCTGCAGCGCGAGCTGGGGGCCCTGAGTACTGGGACCTGTAGTGTTGGGGTGGGGGGTCCCGGTCCACCTGAGAAGCGTCCATACGTGCAGCACCTGAGCGGAGGTGCTCGGCGGCTGTTAGCGGGCTGTGGAGGCCGCCGGTTAATTGGAGTAATTGCTCCCCGGGTGGGACGCCAAGTTGTCGGGATAAACTTCCCCGAGCAGCCCCGCGTGCCTCCGCAGAGGGCCCGAAAAGGGAAGAAATGAAGCTAAAATGGAGGGTTTCAAGATGAAAGCCGCCAAGTGCTTCTTCTTCTTCTGCTGCGGGAGTTCAAACACTGAAAAGTGGGTTTTTGTTTCGGGCAGACAAATTAATGTTTTATAACCGTGTTATTAAGCCTCTGCGGCCCTGTGGACGCTCGGTCCCCCCTCGGAGAGCCCCCCGGCCGCCTGTTTGGGAGAACCGTCGCGGTTTACGGGCTGTTTTTCGGTGTTTCGGTGTGAAAAAAACCGTCCGACATTGCTCCGTCTGAGGCTGAGAACAAGTGGATAACGTTAGCCGTAGCCGCTAATGCTAACCATCCTGTTAGCCGCGCGGAGCTAACGCAGCCAGCAGCCACGCTGATAACAACTTCCATCAAAGATAAAAAAAAAAACACGGCGGCCGAGGGGCGGCAGGGGCCGGGGGCACGGCTCGAATCGGGCTCCAACAGTCCCGAAAGACGCCATCTTTTTACAAGAGTCAAGAAAAAAAGCCCTGACAGCGAGCAGGCGTCGGTGGGTCCAAGTTACATCGGCCCCTTGTCCTCCAGAATATCAACTCCTAGAATAAGAAACAGAGCAGCTAAACACACAGAAACACACGGGAACACAGCGGACACACACCGGCCGACAGCCCCGCACACCTGCCCGCAAACAGCCGCAGACAATCGACCACGGGCGGCCGCAGGAGACGCGTAAAGTTTGACAGCAGGGAAAATTAAAGTTATGAAATTAAAAAGCCCAATGTGCACTTACTCAGCAGCAGTCCTCCTCTGGATTAATTAAATATATATGTGTGTAAGAAGCCGATCCGCGGTGAAACAGAGGCGCACACACAGCCCGGCCGCCTCCTCCCCGCGGGGCTGGACCCAGCTGTCGTGTTTCGGGGTGACTTTTAGTGGAAATTGTGTAAAAAGAGAGAAACTGAAGCTACAAAACAAGAAGAACTCTTCTTCAATCTCATTCAGCTCAGCCTCAGCACATCACAGATCCCTGCGCCGCGGAGCTGGACGAAGGGGCACAAAAACTCCTCGCGGCTCCGGCGGGAGCTCGCTTATCCGCCGGGGAGCGGTCGATGTCGGTCCTTATGGCCGTTAAAGTTCGTTAAATCGGGCCGATGAGCGAGCCGAGGCGCGGGGGGGATGTGTTCGGGAAGCGGACTACTTTTTGTGTCGGTGCGGCGAATTTATTTCACTTTGCCTAAGGAACGGCGGTGCTGCGACTCCCATTGCCTAGGGAAAAAACCCGGATGTAAACTCAGTGAAACTCTATGGAGAGAAAGTCACACACACACACACACACACACCGTGAAACTCGGCGGCGGAGCGGAGCACTTTGTTGTGTTGTTGTGTTACCGACCAGCTCCGCGCAGCACGCCGCCCTTCAGCCTCCACGTTCGGCTGCTCGCTGCTGGACCCGCCGGACTGTTGCACTTTGTGGAGGAAAAGGAGGAGGAGGCCCCTTTTCTCCTGCTTCCAGAGAAACTCCGTGGAGGAATGTGACCACAGAATAAACTCACAGAAGCCAAACGGGAAACAAATCTGAGGTGCTTCTTCATTTTATGATGTCGTCATGCACAGTTATTGTTCAGGCTTTCATATTTTCCTGCCCTTGGCCTCAGCTGTTAAAGCCCCTTTTTGTAATTACCCCGCAAATTGTAATTAAAACTTTCAGCAGCAGGGGGCAGAGTTTCATCAGTGCCTGGGTAATGTCTAAGTAAAATGTTACAGGGGCTCTATGTAACCTTAGAAAGCACCCGTAGCTGTTATAGGTCTGTTATAGGTCTTAGCCTGGTAGCAATAAGTTGTTATTACACACAGGAAACTTCCAGCACGGTCTCACGCTAGCTCCTGAAACAAACACAGCTTATAATCTGTTCGTTCGTGTTCCTCGCTTTTTCTTTCTTTCTCCTTCACGTGTTTGTAGTCTGTGTGAATCTGCAGTTTCCACACAGAGATTAACAACAGCTACATCATCTGTCCGGGTTCATGAGGGACACTGACGGTAGGTGACTGTGAGGCAGACGAGGATCTGAGAGGTCAGCAATCCCAGAAAAGTGGTGGACAGCTGTACCCATGACCGAAAGGAGGGACACAGACACAGGTGGAGACTGCATAGGTGAGGAGGGAAGAAAGAGAGGAAACAGGAAGTGAAAAAAGGAAACATGAGGGTGATGAATGAAGACGGGGCGACACAAAAAGTGAAACAAGCCTGGCCTCTGCACCGTCAGCCCCGAGTGACCCCAGGAGCCAGGTGTTGGAGACCCATTTGATCCTGGGGGCGGGACTTGTGGCCTCCACCACCCACAGGAAGTGGTCCATCACCAAAACTGAGGAACCTATTGCATTTCTATATTTGATGTGTGTTCCTGGTTTGAGACGGGGCCAGTTTGATATTTCTGTTCAGGGTCGTTACAGCCAACTGTAACCTTACTTTAGAGAGATGGCTCGATTAATAGACTGATTGATCTATCGATAGACTAATAGAAAAGCAGCTGTCGCCGTCTCACAGCTGGAGGCCGGAGGACTCGGAGTTCTGCTGTTTTCTGTATTCCAAACTCGTCTGTTTCAATGTGTTTCTATTGTTTCTACTTTTAGCTCTGTAAGTGGATGCATTGACTAAAAAACAGCCACTAGAGGGGGATGTGACACAGTCAAACACATCAGACTGTTCCTGACTTCCTGCTCGTCGGCTGGGGTCCAAACACCGACCCGTGGACCAGAAAAGGCCCTCCAGCACAGTATCAGTTTCTATTTCCCTAGAATATGAAAGTCTTTTTTTCTCTCATGTCTGATGAGCATTATCTCAAGGTTTTAATGAAGTTTTATTACCAGGATGTTTACTCTTTGTTTTGTTCTGCGCAGTTTATTTCTCTTTAATGTTTGCATCTGTTTCCTGTGAGGATATTATTTCATAATTGTGGTAGAAAGTCATCCATGTTTCTTCAGTCAGGGCTTTTCACATCATACTCTCTGTGTTTCTCAGTAAACATACTTCCTGGGCGCAGGAACTGGCTGTCTCACATTTTCCTCTGCAGCAGCGGCACAGCAGCCCCACCTGCTGGTCACGCAGGGTGAAGCACCTGTGAACTGTTTAGTCTGACCTCCATCACTCATTTTCTTCCATCTATCAAAAACAGACATGTATAGGAAATTATTATTGTACACACACACACACACACACACACACACACACACACACACACACACACACACACACACAGCAGTCAGATTTTTTTATGTAACCTTTATTTATACAGGAAGGGTTAGACGTGTTTCTGACAAACATATTAAAGTTACAACAATAACAAGACCTAAAAAAATCATAAAAAGCGAAACTGGTCTGTTTTGAAGTTTTCTCTAAAAGTATTTACACACAGGAGAACAAAACCTCTGTTCATGTTCAAGGAGCAGCGCCCTCTAGTGGTGGTTGAAAAAAGTCTATATTTTTAAACACCTTTATCACGTGTTGTTTTTTTCTGTAGTGCTGACTAACCTACCTGCTCTGTGTGAAAAAGTCCTTACCCCCCCGTGAAATCACACATTCACTGTGATTAACCTCTTTTTTTTCTGTTTCAGACCTGCTGATTATAAATCAGTTAAACAGAAGCTGTGTGACAAAGTGAAGCAGGCTGAAGGATGTTAAACAGCAGCACAGCACATCTCGCCACGATTGCACTTCATTTGTGAACAGCAGAGACCAGGCAGCTGCCTTTGCTGCTAAAACCGTGTGCAGGAAAACATGAAACCCGGGAGCAGTCGGACTGTAAAACATAAAACTGTGACGCTCCGTTTAACACGTGCAGGTATTTTTCTGGAAAACATCATCAGGCCTGCGTGCACAGGTGAGGAAGCAGAGACGTAACTCAGGTGTTCTGCACTTTATTTCCTTTTCATATCAAAGAGCAGGTATCCTCACTAACTCTACTTTATTCTGAAGGCTTGGAAACGACTGAGAAGCTGCTCTTTTGCGTCCTCGCCACCTCTTCAGCCTCAGCCAGATTTAATCCTTCACTCCTTAAAACTGGAAGAATTTCACTTTGCAACACGAGTCCGAATTAGGACTCACGTTCACTATGCTAAAAGTTTGTATCCTGGATCACGTGCAGTAGAAGGAGGTAGGTAGGATGGAGGTCAGGGTGGATGGGACTAAAACCACAGAGCTAAAACCACAAAGAGACTCGAACCTGTCAGGACCAAGGTGAGAACATCGCCGTGATACTCAGACGCAGACATCCAGGAAGACCTCTGTCCTCCACCGCCGACTGGGCCCGGACCAATCAGATGGCTCGGTGCTGTGACTGACACTAACCCAATCAGAGAGCAGCAGATCCATCATCTGCTGGGTAATGACTTCCTGGCCTCATTAGATGCTGCTAACTGCATTATTGTCTCGGCGCTGTGTGTCGATTAGTTTTCCTAAGCGCCTGCTCTGCTTTGAAAAGCAGCTCTGGCTGTTTCTGCTCTCCTCAGATGAAACTTCAGATCTGAGTCTAAACGTGTTAAAAAAAACAATTGGGAGGCCGGGACACCAGATCTGGTTTGGATCTCTGTCAGCGTGCACACAGGTCCTCATTGGGATGTTTTCTTGGTTTCAGAGCACTTACACACAGTTAAAAGTGTGTTCAGAGTGTGTGCCACCCATTCTTTAATAACTGTAATTATGACTGCTGCAGTAAAGAGCAAAGCAAAGCTATAGCAGAGCAAACTGAGCTTTTACAGAGCGAACATCATCTTCTGCTCTTTTCCTGATGACAGCAGGTTTCCATGACTGTGTGGCAGCACAATTAATTAACACTGAATCCCAGTAATTCTGCTCCTGATCAGCATCCCGTCAGACTGCTGCTTCACACTCAGCGCTGAAACATGGAGTGAATGGTGAGCCTGCAGTTCCTCTGATGTCCACTAGAAGCTGGCTCCAAACCTGAGTCAGACTTCCATGCTAACAGCTGTGGCTGCTAGCTTTGCTTGAACCGTGCTTGTGCTGTTGGAGCCTTCATGTGACCCAAGACATGTGTGCTGTGAGGTCACTGTGCTAACAGACCACCAAAGTGATGAAATTCTAGGATTATATTTGGATACCTGAGGAGGATGTATCTGTGTGTGTGGATGCAGACCGACGACCAAGCTTTGGCTCACAATCCAAACAGGGTTACCTGAAAATATCCGGGACGCCAGTGGGTGACATTACAGGGCTGTGACGCTCATCTCTGGGTTAGCAAAGACACCGATGAACGTTGAGGTGAGCGTTTCAAATGACCACCAATAGAAGGGAAAGAGACACAAAACAAAACAATGACCTCAAAAATGTCAGCAGAGACGTAAAACAACCTCAAATAAACACAAAAACAACGCTGGGTTAACATGTGATGGGTGGTAAAAATATTATTCCTTTATGTAGAGCAGGGGTCGGCAACCTTTCGATGATGAGTGCATCTAAAATCTCCTCAGAAGTCAGTGTGCCGTATGACTGCATTAGCAATAAATGTAATAACGCTCTATATGAACAGTTACACACTTAATATAACAACTTTATAGAATTACATTTGTTCGCAG